CGAGCTCATACAATTCAGATGTTAACTTTGCATGAGGGAAGCAGCTGCTGGGGAGCTGTGACAGGAATAAAATTGTCCCAGTGTGCTGCTTGTCCCACTTGTAGTGAATCTGTGAGAGTAGAGAGCTTCTTGCTTTAGACTTTCAGGTTTTGGGAAAACCCTGCCTGCAACGGTAAAGAAAAGCATCCCTTGTGTAGAAATTATTATTCAAGGTGAAGAATAATTCAAATATAGAAGGAATTGCTCATAACTGGATTTCAAAAGTAACTCCAAACGCTTTGCTTTTTTGGTGACTGGCAGGGAAGGTGGGGTGAGAGAAGGAGGGGAAATCAGGGAAAGCTCAGAGGAGCTCCAGGAGCTGAGTGTGCAGCAGGAAGAGCTGCTGGAGTCCCTGAGCAGCTGAGGCACCTCTGCCTTTGCTTCTCCTGGGATGCTTTGGTTCAGGAATGGGATTTTTAGCCTTTGTTTCACGTGGCTTTTTGCTAAACAGAAACAATCTGTGTCCTCAGTGAGCTGTCATACAGAAAAGGAGAAGTAGTGGGAAGGATTTTCCCTTTGGAAATGTGATCAGAGGGAAGTTCTTCTGCATGGATTTGGCATCTTTCTCTTTTTTATGTATATATTTTTCTCCTCTCTTCACTCCATAATTCAGTGATCACATACAGGTAACTTCTCACAGAACTACAGTTGTCTAAATTCTTGTAATTACTGCAGTTATTTATTCAGCTTATCTTAATTGTCCCCATCAGCTTACACAGACCCAGTAAATGCAGTTATCAGGAGGAAGCATCCTGAGTTTATGGGCAGAGCAAACAGCACCATTGGGATGCTTAACTCTTTGTTTTGTTTGGTTTTTAACTTAAGCCTGATCTTAATTTAAACCTCTTGTCCAGCCTGGCATGTGAGCAAGGCAGAGCTGTCACTGAGACACGTGGGGTGGGTGAGAGCTGGGAAAATGAGGAGTTTTGGGGCAGGGAAGGAATTGTCCTGCAGGGAAGCTCTGGTGGCACAGTTCTTTGCACGTGTAAAACTGAAGCAGATTGTAAGAAGTGATAGAAAACCAGAAGAGAGTTAGAAATAGAAAATCCTGGGCAGCACTGAAAGGTGTGGATGATCTGTCACTCTCTGAATGCTGATTTTTGCAGTGAATGATGCTCTTTAGAAGTATTGCAGGATTTGTGGAAAGAACTTTATTATAATTTAAAATAACTGCTTTCAACAGATCTCCAAACCCACCACGCTCACGGTAGGAACTGGAGGGTCTCTTATTTCCACAGCTTCTATTTCAAATTTTGCTTTTTCCCGGGTAAAACAATGGCAACAAAGTGATTTAACATCTCCTACCTTTGGCAGTGTGCATGCATTAAATCCTTAATTGTTAATTAAAGGTATTCATTGCAGCTTGTCATCAGTTAAGCAATTAAAGTTTATTTGTTCCTAAGTCTTCCCAGTCCTCATCTTTGATCTGGCTAAAATCCTTCAGCTGCATTGCTGATATTGCTTGTTTTGGCTCTGCTTGGTCCCACTTTCCTAGCTCAGGAAGTTTCAAGATGAATTCCACACATCCCTGCTTTAAGTTGTGCTGTCACATCAGCTGATGGATTCCCTGACAATAGTCCTGAAACACTCCATGTTCCTTCAGAGGCAGGATTTTTTTTTAGCTGGGGATGGAAATTGCCCTTTATCCGTGGGCTGGCAGCCAGGTGGGTGCCTGGCAGGGGAGGCTGTCTCATCTCCAAGTGCCCCTGGTGGCACAGGACAGGATTCCTGGGTGCCACAACCCCATAAATGCTCCTGGTTCCCTCTGCCACCCAAATCCTGACAGGGCTGAATTCCAGGGGCTGCATTTTTAACAGCCAAATAAACTGGAAGGAAAACATCAGCACTACCTCCAGGAACGTGGCCTTTTTTAGGCTTTTCTTGAAAATCCGTAATGATTCCTCCTGCTAATTTATTCTGGCACTTTTTTTTAAAATCAGCTTCCTATAGAGGGTAAAGCATTTTCTGGAGCTCTGGAACAAAGCAGCACAGCTGCCTTTTATGACTTGAACTTGAGTGCAGGGCTCCAGTGTCTTTATCCTACATTTCATGTGCTCTGCTCTGCCAGCCCCTCTGCCCTGGCTCTCACTCCCTGCAGCTAAGCAGCTTCTCCCGTGGCTGCATTTTGGCATTTTGGGATTTGCAGCTGAATTCCCAGAGCTGGCAGTGCCTCCTGGCCCAGTGCTGGGTGCTGTGTGTCCCTTCCTGGGCTGCCATCCTGCAGGGATTTCCCTTTCCTCCTGCCCAGCTCAGGGTGGGTACCCTGGCAGGACACAGCATCAGGGAGCTTTCCTGACATTTCTTTTCCTTTTCAAACCTCTAGCTGGCAGGTGTTTCCCATGCTCAGTGCCAGCAGTGATGTTTCTGCCTTTCAGACTCGCTGTGTTTCCCTCCTCCTGCCCACTGATAATAATCTCAGCTATCCCTTTGTGTGTTTATTTAGATAAAGCTTTAATATTTGCTAATCTCCACTCAACATCCCCGGTGTTGTGGCTGCTGGGTAACCCTGAGGTGGAGGGGGTTGTTGATTATTTGGTGATTTCACCCAAATGCTCAAATTCACCTTTTTAAAGCTCACCTGTGCCCTTGGCACCCTGCCAGCCTCAGGATTCCTCCCACTCCATTGTCTTGGATGAGTCAGGCTGCCAAATGGAACATGCCAGGATTGCCTTTCCAGCCTTTGGGCCTTGCTGATAACAGTGGGATGGAATTAAGGCTTAATCCACCCCCAGTTTGGGTTTGGGGTGCAGAACTGGGCCTTTTTCTAAGGATTTTTGGCAGTGTTTTTACCTTACAGCTGGCAGAGGATCTGCTTCTGCAGGGCAGTAAAAGGAGAACAAAGAACAAGAGAGGAAAAAAAAAAAAGGGGGGGGGGGGGGGAGGAAAGGAAATGGCATCTGGCACTTGCAGGGGGAGGAAAAATAAGGAGAAAAATTATTTATTTGCAAATTCAACGGGGGAGCACAGGCACTGCAGGGTTATGAATAAATCTTTCTATTCAGTGTACGTCAGCCATCAATTGACCTTTCAGAGAAATGGCAGCTCTGTAATCACTGCTCTCCCTGCCCTGTGCCCTGCTCCTGGCATGGATGTGCCCATCCTTCCCTTGTCCTTTATCACCCTCCAGGATCAGATGCCATATGCTGTTTCATAGGGAAAGCCCTGTCCTTAAACCTCTGCCAGGTCACCCAGGGCAGATTTTTTGACATGTGTCAGGAAATTGGATAACCCAGATTTTAGGTATTTATCTGCAAGAATCTTCCCTGAATTGGGATCCACCTCAGAATTCCATATGGCCTCGTGGAATACCTTTGAGCCTGTGCAAATAAACAGGTTTTCCAGGGGATTTCATTCCTGGGGATGTGTTTCAGCTGTGAGCTCACCCTGCTGGGCTGGGGGCTGGCCTGAACACAAACCTGGCTGTGCAGCACCTCAGGGGCAGCAGGATCTGAGATTTGGGCTCCTTCCCTGCTGGGGCCAACCCCAGGATTGAGGTTTGAGACTTTCCTGAACTCCTGGAATTCTGAGTGCCTTCGGAGCCCTTCAGACAATGAGAAATAGGCTCTTTAATACTGTTGGCAAAACCCCCTTACAAGTGTTGCATTGTTCCAATTCCACTTTAGAAGGTGCTAAGTGTCAGCAGGGCCCTTGGATTGATACGAATTTAATATCAGAAATCACTTTAATGGCTGTGTGACAGAACTGTTGTTCAGCAAATGCTCTCACTTGGAGTGGCACTTCAGGGTTGAGCAGCATTAGTCCTGACAGCCCTCGTTTGCTGGGAAAAATGGGGTCTCCTCCTGCCTTCCAGTGGCAGGAAAATAAACAATAGCCACGAGAGTAAGCCAGGAAAAGGCTCCACAGCACAACCAAAGTGAGCAAGGAATTGCTGGCTGTGATGGTTTCATGGAATTCCTCAGATCTGAGGAGTTGCACAGGTACAACTCCAGAGTCTGGACCCTTCAGTGTCAAATATTCTCTGGATGCAGCTGCTTTTTACAGGTTTCTGGTGAGGATCCAAACTGTAAATAAACAGGGAAAGGCAGCCTGTGGAAGCATGATCCACCAGGACAGTGTGACCACTCAAGGGGTTTTGGTGTGGGATATTTTCTTGGCTTGGAGCATTTTTAAAAATGCTCAATGACTGGGGCTGGCTCCCTCAGAACTGAAAACAACACTTCCTTAGCTTTCCAAGTGTGTGCCATTAATTTTGTTTCCATTGCACTGAAGTGCTTCCTGGAGCCTTTTGCTGTATTTTTTTGCTGCCCATTCTGGTGATAAGGGCACTCTCAGGCACCTGCCATTCACCTCTGACTCCCAGGAAATCCAAGAGTTTTCCCAGGATTGCACCTGAATTTGGCTGAGAATTGCACAAGTTCAGTCATTTCCAAACCTCTGCCGCTGCCCAGCTCTTTCCCTGGAAATTTGGTGTTTTGTCTCTTCCCCAAAGCTCTGAACAAGTTCCTAAAAAAGCCCCGTGGCAGGGCAGAAACTCGACCCTGCCTGGCACAAGGTGCCAACCCTTGGCACGTCCCACTGAACATTCCAGGGCAAAGTTCTGCTGGTTGTGCTGGCAGAGGAGGGAAAACAACTTCCTAAAAGGACAATTTGCATTTGATTTAAACGAGAAAAAAATATTTTTAACCCCCTTTTTTTTCTGTTGTTGTAACCTAATAGATTGCAGCGAGGTATTGGGGAGATGGAGTGACAGGTCTGGGGTGGTGGGTTGGGGAAAAAAGGGTTTTTTTCTGCTTTTTTGGAAGAATGGATTGGGCTGATGCCTCAAGTGTTCCTTGGGTATGAGCTCAGAATGTTTTTAAGCTCTGTTGCCAAGAAGGCTCATCAGTGGTTCAAAATGCAGGACTCAGAACATGGGAATGTGGCTCAGAAATAATTAAAAATAGAAGCTGGGCTGCTCTCGGGCCTCCTGTGCTTCCATTTTCCTGGGGTTTTGTTTATTTGTTTTTAAGGGATCCGTTTGCCTTCACAGAAATGGTTTCAAATCTAACACTGATAACTGAATATAAAATCAGGCTTTAAATTGCTGTAGGATTAAAATACATCTCAGTTTCGTGGTGTTGCAGTCTGTGTTAAATGAGGGAACACCTGCAGCCTTCTGAGGAGGGGGAACACCGAAATTCCTGAGCACCAGGGGCAGGAGAGGACTGCAAAAGGAACATTCCAGCTGGGAGAAGTTACCTGAGGCAGGACTTCACTGTGTGGGAATGCACAGGGAGATGGATGACTGAGTGAGCTGCTGTTTATTGGGGAAAAAAAAATAAAATGCAGTTCAGTGTTAGCTTCATTAGTCCAGCTGTAATGGGATAATAAAAAAACAAACCTAAACTTAGTTTATAAAATTATTTTGACATTTCCTTCTATGTATTACAGCTGTCCTTAGTTTTAACTCTGAATATTTTAATTAAAACAATAAAAATAAAAGAAAATTGGAAATCCTGACCTGACATGTCCTTTTTCTTTCCCCCCAGCACCTTCCTGTACCTGAAGTTCCTGGTGGTGTGGGCCCTGGTGCTGCTGGCAGATTTTGTGCTGGAGTTCAGGTTTGAGTACCTGTGGCCCTTCTGGCTCTTCATCAGGAGCGTTTACGATTCCTTCCGATACCAGGGCTTGGTGAGTGGGCACGGGGGGCAGGAATGTCCCCGGGCACAGGGGCAGGAATGTCCCCTGCCACGGTGCCACCAGAGCCTGCTCACAGCAGCAGGGCTTCTGGAGGAATGCACCCCCCGGTGTTTTTCTAGGGCTTATAAGGACTGGCTCTAGGACAAACAACTTAATAGGCTTCTCTCTGAGGGGGCTCAACTGTGCCCCGTGGAAATGAAAGAAAGATTGATCCGAATTTCACCACAGAGAAATAGTGGTGACATTGCTGAGCTGGGTTGGAATTCAGCAGAATGATATATAATATTATATATGTGTAAACAGGCAAGAGTTGGTGTTATTTTAAAGAAAACCCTCTTATATAGACTTTTAAAATATTTTTGTATATATATGTGTGTGTATATACACACAGACATGTGCTGTCTATCTATAGGGCTAGATATATGGCTATATAAAATATTGTTATTTATATAGATTGATATTTTTATACATATATAAAATATGTATTTATATAGAAAATACTTGTAATTTTATATATTAAAATTAAACATGTACTATATAGATGGCTATATAAAATATTGTTATTTATATAGATTTATATTTTTATATACATATATAAAATATGTATTTATATAGAAAATACTTGTAATTTTATATATTAAAATTAAACATGTACTATATATATGGCTATATAAAAATATAGCCATGTAAAATATTGTTAGTTATATATTTTATATACATATTTTCTATATATTTATATAGAAAATATTTCTATAGATAAAATTTTACATATTTAAATTAACTATATAATATTAGAAATATTGGTGAGTTATAAAATCGTAGCTATTAGATATTTTATATAAAATGTATTACATGTATTTTAATATCTATAAAAAGCTCTATTTGGTTTGGAATAACCAAACCCTCTTCTTCATGCCCCTCCCTCCTTTCTTTCAGGCCTTCTCAGTATTTTTTGTGTGTGTAGCATTCACCTCCAACATCATCTGTCTGCTCTTCATCCCAATCCAGTGGCTGTTCTTTGCTGCCAGCACCTATGTGTGGGTACAGTATGTGTGGCACACAGGTGGGCATTGTTCTTTATTTACAACTTCCTGACTCATTTTTGACTCCTTTATTTCCAGCTCTTCTTTTTTGACAACTTCCAGGACTCAGTGTGTGTCTCCCATCTTTTAGAAACAAAACTTCTCTGCTGTTGCCTCACTTAATTTAGTTTTTTAGAGTTAAAAACTTTGCTTTGGTTTTTTGTTTTGCACTTGGGGTGCATCTCCAGTAAGCAGGAGCTGGAGGGGAATAAACAGGAATTGCAGAGCAGTTAAAAGAAAATTAAATTGCTGACTTTAAAACTCTCCTGCAGTGATTGAACAACACAGGACAAGTTTGTGACAGTTCTGCTCTTCCACACTCAGTTGATGTGCTGATAATTGAGTTAATAACGTTCAAATATCAGTTATTTCAGTGATCAGAGTTTAATTCTGTGCTAGCAAAGCTGGATCCAGTTTCTGAGCTGGTGATGCCAGAGGCTGCCCTGACAGTTTGGGGCTTCCATGGAGAATTCTTGTCCCTCTCTGCTGCCCTTTTCTCCCCGAGTTTGTTCTCACAAATCCCTGAGTTTGGATGAAGCAGTGGAGCTGGGGGAGGTGGTTTCAAATCAAAACATTTTAGGAATCCAATTTAATTTAATTTTTTTTTTTTTTAGGGGTGACTTTTCACTCCCCAGATTCTTGGGATTTGTGGAACATTTTTTGTTAGCCTTGATCCCAGGGGTTTGCAGGGTGCTGTGATCATCCCTCCCTCAGTGACAACTTAGTCACTGCTAATCACAGCAGTGTGGGAGCTGATGGCAGATGCTGTGAGCCACTTGCTGCCCAATTTCAAATACCTGCAGAATCTGGGGTTATTTTTGGAGCTGTATTAATATGTTAAAACCTTATCTGAAGTTGTTCAGGGTTGATGCTTAGAAGGAAGAACCTGATGGGCCAGTTTTAGCTGTAGCTATTGAGCTGATTTAATATTTTAATTCATGGCAGCCTGAGGAATTACTCATTTTCAGTGCTCATCCAAGCTGATGGGAACTTGCTTTTTTTTGCTTTTTTTTTGGTGAAAATCTTTAAGGTTTGTTTCCTCAGACTCCTGAAATGTTGTAAAAATAACTTTCAACTCCTTTCTGCCTGTACTGTGTCCCTGAGGTGCCTCTGTTTCCCTTCTCTCCACAGAAAGAGGTGTGTGCTTACCAACAGTATCACTGTGGATACTTTTTGTTTATATTGAAGCAGCCATCAGATTTAAAGATTTAAAAAACTTCCATGTGGACCTTTGTCGTCCGTTTGCAGCACACTGGTGAGTGCTTCTCTGTCCTTGTCCTATTAACCTTTATTTCACCAGGAAAATGAATTATCAGGGCTTTTATTTGGGTTCAGGGCCTGACTGTTCAGTTTTTCCTCACAATTCTGCCATGAAATATTCCGTGAGAACTGTGTGTAAACAAGGACCCAGTGCCACCTTTCTGTGCTGGGAGGAATTTGCAGTGTGGGTATTCCAACCATTTCTTGAAAGCTCCTGTGGAACAGCAAAAACCACTTCATAAATCAGTTTATGTGGGCATGGTTCACATATATATATGAACTGTGTATATATTTGATTTTAATTTGCTATCATGGCTACAGTTTGATTCATAATATTGCTTTTGTTTTTCCTCTTCAGCATTGGCTACCCTGTTGTGACTTTGGGCTTTGGCTTTAAAAGTTACGTCAGCTACAAGATGCGTTTGAGGAAGCAGAAGGAGGTGCAGAAGGAGAACGAGTTCTACATGCAGCTCCTGCAGCAGGCTCTGCCCCCAGAGCAGCAGATGCTGCAAAGGCAAGAGAGGGAGGCAGAGGAAGGCAAGTTATCCCTTCATGTGTGCTCTGTTCTCTGCTGTTCCGAGGGAAAACGAACCCCAGGCGTGCTGAGGAGGAGCTGCTCCAGCCTGGCTCTGTTTGGGAGTGTGGTGAGCTCAGAGGGGCAGAAATGAAATCACTCTGGAGTGGTTGATGTGACAGGAAAAGGGAATTATGGCCCCTCTGCCCAGTTCTTCATTAGCAGCTGCACCAGTCTGGTCAGTCAGTGTTGTGTGAAGCTCTGGTATTTATTCTTAAATCTCTCTTTCCTGCCTGGAATGAGGCACAAGCCTTAAAACAGGTGACTTTGGATTCTCTTTTCTAGAGAGTCTCCAATCCTGATAGTTTCCTGCAGGAATGATGGATGTGTCCATAATGATTTTTTCTTTCTGTGGCATGCTATTGATGGATTTAATGAACTAAGTTGATTTTTTTTTTCACTTTGGTGTTGCAGCAGCCAAAGGATTATCTGATATGGATTCCTCAATACTCCTGCAGCACAATGGAGGCATTCCAGCCAATAAAAAAATCTCTGCAACGTTGCCAGAGCTGGAATATCGAGAAAAAGGGAAAGAAAAGGACAAGGATGCAAAGAAACACAACCTTGGAATAAACAACAACATTTTGCAACCTGTAGACTCTAAAATACAAGAAATTGAATATATGGAAAACCATATCAATAGTAAAAGATTAAATAATGATCTTGTAGGAAGTACAGAAAACCTCTTAAAAGAGGACTCATGCACTGCCTCGTCCAAAAATTACAAAAATGTCAGTGGGGTTGTGAACTCCTCACCCCGCAGCCACAGTGCAACCAACGGGAGCATCCCCTCCTCATCCTCTAAAAATGAGAAAAAACAGAAATGTGCCAGCAAGAGCCCGAGCACACACAAGGACTTAATGGAAAACTGTATTCCTAATAACCAGCTAAGCAAACCAGATGCACTGGTAAGGTAAGTTGGGCCTGAGCCTTGTCTCCTCCTCCCTTGGTCCATCAGGACTCGGGGGTTTAATTTGCTTTTTATCAGCAAAATGTCATTTGTGGTCACGTAGAGAAGCCAGAGTTGTGCAGTGGTGGGAGAGGATCTCCAGGAGATGTGTGGAGCTGTGTTCCTGCTGTTTGTTTGACACACAGCCTGGAGCAGATTGCTTCATTTCTGGCTCAGGATGTGCTGCTGCCCTGCCTCGCTGCTCTGTTGTGAGGCACCAGAAATGCTCTGGTGGAAGGCAGGAGGAAAACCTGAGAAAATCAGCTCATGTGTCCTTGACAGCTCTTCTGTGGAGCAGCCTTGCCTCTCCAGGGAGTTCCCTGGGGTTTCTTGCTGCCTGAACAGGTGCTTTGGTTTTGTTTTTCCTTTGAAGTGTTTGGCTTTTGCTTTAATCTCTAATTCCAAGCGTGGAGGCAGCGAGTGCAGGGAGCCAGTGCTGGTGTGGAGCTGAGCTCAGCCCTGCTCTCAGCCCTGGGAATGTGTCAGCATGGACAATCCCATCTTCACACGTGCTCCTGGGAGTTCAGAGGGACCTGTGCTCTGCTCTCAGCCCTGGGAATGTGTCAGCATGGACAATCCCATCTTCACACGTGCTCCTGGGAGTTCAGAGGGACCTGTGAGGGGCAGTGGCTCACCCTGGCACAGATGGTGTTGCCAGGAAAGGCCCCAGTGAGGAAGGTGGTGTGACTGTGCATGGAGAGATGTCTGGAACAAAAGCTGTTCCACAATTCTGCCCTTCTCCAGCTTTCTCCACCTGGCCTGTGTCTCTTAATCCTTATTCCACCAAATCAATGGTGGCCAGCTTAATTGGCAGATCAGGCTTGTTTTCCCTGCCTTTGATAATTGGCCTTTTATCTCTCAGGATTTGTGCTGTGGGAACACAATTACTTCACTGGAAATACTATTTTCCCCTCTGATAATCACTCTACCTTGATTGACATACCCCTGCCAATTAAACACGTGGACTAATTGATACCTAATGTCTGCAGAGAACCTGTGTGAGGTTCAGAAAGCAGCCAGGCACTGTGATCTGTGACAGGATGGATGGGCTGCAGATGGCTCTGCCTTCAGCAGAGCTGCTCCAGCTCCTGGCCAGGCCTGGCTGGCTGTCCCCAACCTCAGCTGGCAGCTCTGCACTCTTGGTGAGCTTTGTTTGCTCCCTCTTGGAGGGACAGAAGGCTCAGCTCAGTTTGCTGCAGACATTGCTAAGCCTTGAGCAGAGGGAAGGAATGAGCTGCCAGCCTGGGACAGGGATGAGAGTTCAACCTGGTGTGTTTAAAGCTTCAGTTTCCTGTTGAAATCCTCGTGTGGGAGCTTAGAGCAGGTGCTCACTAATTGCCCAAGGTGAGTTTTGGAGCACAGAAATGAGTCTACAACAAAACAGCTCCTGTCCTGAGGGAATTGCAGCTCCTGTCCTGAGGGAACTGCAGCTCCTGTCCTGAGGGAACTGCAGCTCCTGTCCTGAGGGAACTGCAGCTCCTGTCCTGAGGGAATTGCAGATCCTGTCCTGAGGGAATTGCAGATCCTGTCCTTAGGGAATTACAGATCCTGTTCTGATGGAACTGCAGATCCTGTCCTGAGGGAATTACAGATCCTGTCCTGAGGGAACTGCAGCTCCTGTCCTGAGGGAACTGCAGCTCCTGTCCTGAGGGAACTGCAGATCCTGTCCTGAGGGAATTGCAGATCCTGTCCTGAGGGAATTGCAGATCCTGTCCTGAGGGAATTACAGCTCCTGTCCTGAGGGAATTGCAGCTCCTGTCCTGAGGGAACTGCAGCTCCTGGGACTCGCTGGGGAAGGACACAGAGCACAGCTGTGCTCTGGAAGGGCCTTACTCTGCTCTGAGAGGGAGCTGAACTTCCTCAGACAAGTGTTTTTGGGATGTGTGGCTGTGGAGCTGTGCCACAAATCCCTGGGGCTGTTTGTTGTCCCTGATGTCCCCGTGCAGGCAGCCCAGGAGCACCAAAGCCCAGCCTCCTGCTCCCAGCTGCTGCCTGGAATCATTGATGAAATCTTGTTTCTGCTCAGCCTGCCTTGTGGAACTCCCACACCAGTGGGAGCATAAACTCACCTGACAAACTGGATGGGATGGATGCACTTAAATTTAAAAATTCATGGTACTTTTTTTTTCTTTTAACCTTGTCAATTATCCTGTCCCTGGAGTTCCAGGCATTTGTTCATCATTTTTTCCACTTCCAGGAGTGTTACTCATTCCTGTTATTAAACTTTCAGGCTGCATTGCTGCTGGAGCCTGGAAAGGGCTGAGTGAGGTCCTGCATTTGTTCAGACTCAGCTCAGACCTGCTCAGCTTCCAAATAAAGCTGCTTTTTCTGCCTGGGTGTCCAGCAGGATGGCAGACCCGAGCTGCTTTCCTTTTGTGTCCACAGATGATGGCCCTGGGCTGAGTAACCAGCAGCAAATGTGAAATATTCCTTCTGCTGCTGGGGCCTGGGATTAGCAGGGCTGGAGACAGTCAAGATCAGGAGGTTTTGGAGACTAGGAGTTTTACAGAGTTGTTAACTTTGAAATGTTTGATGTGATCCATCTGGAAGAGTCCTGCTAGTTAAGGTTTATGCAAATATTTTATACATGCTCTTGTTTGAAGCTAAGTTTTCCTTTTTGCTGTTTCTGCTGCAATGTCAGGGCCTGAGTGCTTGGTTTTGTAAAGAGGAACTTCTGATGCCCATCCCTGGGGATTGTTCCATTCTTCTGGAGCTGAGGGATCCCAGAGGCTCAGGAACCCCTGGGGTTTTCTGAGACATCTCCTCAGGGTGCTGGAATCTGCTGCAGCTTGTCAAGCCCTCTATCCCTGAGTGTGAACCTGTGATGTGAGTGCTTCTTCCCCAGCTCCCTGGCCATGGGGCACTGGAGGGATCCATTTGGGATCAGCCTGGTGTCCCTTTGCACTCTGCTGCCATTTCACTGTCATTCCTGAGGTGAAACAAATTTACAGCCTCTATATGGAACAAGTCCAAGCTGTAATTGCTGCAGAATTATGTATTTTTTTGTTGTTTATTCCACATTACACTGCAAAACCCATGATCTGCCTCTGCCTTTCAGCACCCTTAAAAATCCCTGCACTGGAACCACACAAAAAGCTGGCAGGGCAGCTTGGCAGAACTGTCTGTATCCACAGAGGTCCTGCCTTTGGCACACGAGGTGATGAACAAGCTGTCTCATGTACTAATTATTCCCACAGATAACGAGGACATCTTCTGGCAGTTGGACTGGGAAAATTCTTGGTGAAGCAAAAGCTGCTCTGCCACAGCTTATTTCACTTTCCTAAAATGGTGTTACCTGCAGAGACAGACCGGGAGGTTTTCATGTGAATTTGGTGCTAATGTTGTGAAATTTGGTGACATCGCTGATGGGCAGAGAGGGGCTGGTGCCTCCTGCTCGCCCCCCTGCCTGGAGTGGCATTAAAGCAGCAGAAGGTTTCCTGTGTCAGCTGCAGGGGGGTGATGGCCAAGGTTTCCTGCCCCAGGAAGGCAAGCACAGAACAGAAAACCAGAATTGGGAAGGTAAAGGAGGAGTGTGGGAGCCAATCCCTCCTGCAGCCCCTTCCCAAGGCAGCAGAGAGCTCAGGAACAGAGCAGCCTTTGGAAATGGCAGCTCTGGGAGCAGCAGGGAGGGCAGGGTCCTGGCTTTCTGGGATTTCTGGCTTTTTGGGAGTGAAAGCTGCTCCCAGGAGCTGCAGGGAGAGCCTGTCAGTCCCACCAGGGACACCTGAAAGAACAGCTTCACTGCCAGCTTCTGCTTGTGCCAGGCAGAGCTGGGGCTTTGGGACAGCATCTCAGGGCCCTGGGGGTACTTGAAAATGATAAATTTTATATAAGCTGTGTTTCATTCGAGTGCAATTGCCAGGTGATTATGGGATGGAGTAAACTGAGCACCCAGCCATCAATGCTGGGGAGTACTAAAGCTGAATTGAAATGTCTTTAGGTTCATCCATCAATCTCCCCCGAGGCATTTGGGGAAATATTCCCTCTCCGAGGTGATCCCTGATTAATTCTCCTCGCAGGGAATGGCAGGAGGTGGTGCTCAGCAAAGGAAATGGGTAAATCTGCAGTCAGAGCAATGACAAACTGAAGGAATTGACCTCGCTTGTGTAAACAGCACAACATAATCTGCAACTAAAGCCTCATTTAAAAGCAGGTTTGTGTCAGAGTGAGTGCTGCTGTGTGCAGCAGCAGGGAAAAACATCTTCCAGAGCTCAGGTTTCCTTTGCTCCCCCTCCTCTGTAAATAATTTTCTCCGGTAAGCCAGGAAATAAGTGACTTAAGCAGCAAATGAAATGAGAGGAAGAATAACAATCGTGTGCAAACTGCTGCTTTAGGGGTCATTTATCACTGCAGCAGCAGTGCAGGCTGTTCAGTAGGGGGAGGCCTCCCCTGCCCTGCTCCCTGCTTGCAGCAGAGATTTTTTTTTATGCCTTTGTATTGGTTTACCTTGATGTGCTTTTATTCTGGAGTGCTGTTAATGTCCTGGTGGAGAGGTGAGCTCTGGGACAGTGCAGGGAGCACCTGTGGGTCTGAGGGGTAGCTCCCTTCTTGTTTTCTCCTTAATGAACTTGTGTCTGCCTAATTGGGACAGAAACCACCCAAGAAGCCTTTGCATGGTGATGGATTTTGATCTTCCCCTGGTTTTAGGGAGACAGGAGCCTGTATTTGCTCTGCAATTGGCAGAAAACAGATTTTTCTCTGCTCTGCTGTTTCAAGCTGCAGCAAAACCTTCAGTGTAATGAAAAGGGGTAATTAAAACCTGCTGAAATCTTACTGTGAAACCTCATTCCAAACAAGCCCACCGCTAAAGCAGTTTGCAGTGGTTCTCTCATTGACAGAGAGGAATTTTCTGTGTTAGTTTTTTCCTGGCCCCTTTGGGGTGATGTCTCGTGGATGTTCCACCCTCCCTGAGCCCTGACCCCACAAATTGCAAACCCACAGCAGGGAGGGCAGCATCTCTGCTGTCCCCAGGATCCTGCAGCTCTGTTCCAGCCCCACTCAGGTGCAGGAATGCCAGCAGCCAGATGGCTCCACAACCCTGCCAAAAATACAAATTCAGCCTGTCCTGTGCCAGCCCCTCGGAGCTGGTCAGCCCTTATCTGCTCAGGGTTTCTTTTCCTGGAATACTCAACACCCAAAATAAATCAAAATAAATATCTGAGTTTGACACAGTCTGAGCTCCAGGTAGAAGCTATTTACAGCTCTTATCTTCAGTTATCACTCCATTGCAGCCGTGGATATTGAGGTTGTTTCTGGGTCACTCTAAAGTGGCACTCAGGTGCATTCCTCTATTTGAACAGCACTTTTCCACTTGTTTATGAAAACCTGGATTAAAACCTCATCAGTTGTTTGCACACCCCAGTCTGGTAGTGGTTCCTACAGCTTCTTACACTCTTTAATTAAAGCATTTGCTCTCTCTAAAACACTGGGCTGCTGCTTTTTGGCAGATGAAATGAAACACTGATTTCTGTGCCCAACAACTGCCCTGTCCATCATTTAACACTGCCAGGGTGGCACCACTCACCCAAAGCCAGCTGCTGCTGTTCCCATTTTGGGGCTAAGGTTGGAATATTTGGTCAGGTTTGCAAATTCTTTCCCTCAGCAGAGCACCAGGCGTTGAAGTGATTTGTGCACTTCCCTTTGAGGTGGGTGCTTGCTTTGTGCTGTTACTGTTTGCCTGTAAATTGATTTTTTTCTTCTGCCTGAGGGTGCTTTTGACCATTTCTAGAGCACTGAAGGAGTTAATCTTCCCATGAGGGCACTTCATGGACCTGGAGGGGCTGGGACTGGAGTGGGCTGAGTGTCCCAGCCCAGCCCTGCTCCTCTGGGGCTGCTCTGCCTCCTCGTTCCCCCTGTCCCCTCTCTGGGCTGTTCTTGCTGTTACAAACCCACTTCTCTGCATTTCCACAGCCTTGGGGACTCCACACTCCCCCTGCTCATCTCTCGGTGCCTTTTAGGCTGAGATTTCCCTGCCCTGAAACCCAAAAAATGTTTCATGAAGAAACCAGAAAGCTGCAGCCATTCATCTGCACTGCTGAGTGTCACTAAGGGCAGCTCTTTTTGGCTTTTGTCAGTGTTCTCCTGGTCTTAACGTCCCACTGCCACCAATTCAGAATGCAAGCCTAGGAAATAAAACCACCTTCATCTTCTTTATGGACACTTAAAAACTCTCAAATCAATAGGTGGCAGAGCAAAGGAGGGGGTTGTGTGAGAATGGCTGGGGTGTATTGCTTTCAAGGAGTGTGTAACAGAGTTTAAAAAGGTTGATTATTCACCTGTGATGTGTTTTATTTCTAAGAATCAATAACCTTATTTGTGGAGGGAAAATGAAAGTGAGCTGAGTGCCTCTCCTCCGAAACGTGTGTTTTGTTTAACAATATTTTAATTAAAAAGCTTACATGAATCTTCAAGAACTTTCCAAAGCTACAATTTCAAGTGTAGAGCAGATGGTCTCTGTTCAAGAGCAATTAAAACTAAATTTACTGACTCCTGAGCTGGGGATGACTTCACACATCCTCTCACTCTGCATGCACATGGTGTGCTGCAAGAAAACACCAACACTTTGAGGTGACAGCTCCCAGCTCAGCTCTGGCTGCCAAACCAAACTCAGCATTTGTGGACAGGGTGAAACCTCTGGGTTTGCCTCTGCACTGCTTTGGGGCTTCTCAGACCTCGGGGGAAATGGGATTCCATGGGATTTATTTCAGCAGGAGGCAGTGAATTCCTGGGGGAGGCTCTGGGGTGTGTGTGCAGTGACAGAAAAGCTGATTATTGAGCAAGGAAAGCCAGAGAACTGGGAGAGCCCATTGTTGGGAGGCTGCAGCTTCGAGGGTTTGGCAGATGGTGCCAGGTTTATTCTGATTTTATGGGATGTGCCTGAGCCTTGGGGTGAGGGGGCAGGAAGTGTCCTGTGGAATTGTCTTTGCCAGCGTCATAAACAAAGTTCACTCTTGAGAATTTTTAGAAGTTTAATAAGGGATAAAAAGGGACAAACATCCAGCACTGGTGATGTTGGGGTAAAACAATATTCTCTATATACTGTTCCATTTCAGGGGTACATACATATTCATGAGTTTTATACATTATTCAGACATTCTTGTGAGTTGTTTCAGGGATTTTCTTGCTTGGTTTTAACCTTTGGTCACTAAATCAATATATTTTATTTCTTCTTGTTGTTTCTACACTCCATCCTGTTGTTTTTAACTCCCTGATAACAGAGAGTCCATAAATTCTTCCTCTAGGTGTTCTGGTTTTTGTCCCTGTTACCTTGTCTTTCAGGTAAGATAGTCCACAAATGTGGGGAATCTTCTGATTTTATTTTACACCATTCTCTGAGTTAGAGAATGAAAATGCCTCATGAAAAAGGTATTTTAACATCCCACAGTCTGTATTTTAATACAGATTACAAATACAGAATACAAATGAATTATTTAATATTTAACAGAGAATACAAATTATCATATATGTCTAATATATTTATCACAGTAATATTTCTGTAAGCTACAGGGTGCACACACAAACTGACAGGTTATACTCTACCAAAAGCAAGCATAAACATCAAACCACCTGTGCAAAAGCTGACAGAAAAATGCAAAGCCAAGGTGTGATAGGTTTTTTTCTTTGAGCTAGGTTTTATGAGAATTTATTACACTGGAGATAGCCTAGCTACCTCAATGGCATAAAATTAGTAGGATGGGTTTTGAGGTAGTCTTAGAAAAGGGTTTTGAGGTAGTGTTAGAAACAGAAAAGGTTTAATAAAAGGCAAAATAACTCTTTACAGAGAAAACTTGAGTTAGAGGTAAGAGTTCTTGGTAAAAATACCCTACAAAAGTGATTTTTTTTTTTGTGCTCTTCTTTTTGTAGTGAATTGCCTAGGCAGGACCTTTTGGCTTCTGTCAGTTGGGTATCCTTAACTCTGAGGTGAAGTCCCCAAGGTCTTATGAGGTGTCTTTTTACTAAACTGAGAGAAACTTGTGGGTTTTTCCCTTTTTGAGGAGCCAAAGGATAATTTGTTCACTTGTGTGGCATTCATGTTCTCTGAAAAAATCCCTTCACCCAGGTTTTTGATCCTGGGAAGCTGAAAAGAGAGGCCTCAGAGAACAGGAGAACAATTCTTATCTCATTTTCTTCTCCTGTGTGGAATGTGTTTGGAGATTATTTACCCACAGGTGATGGTTCCTTTGGATTCTGCTGTGAGTTGTTTTCACTCTTTGGCCAGCTGGGGCCAAGCTGTGTCAGCACTCTGGAAAGCACCACCAGTTTTCATTATTATCTTTTTAGCATTCAGTGAGTATCCTTTCTGTATTCTTTAGTACAGTATTTTTAAATATAATACAGAGTAACAAATTCCTAAATGAGCCTCTGAGAACGTGGAGTCAGCTGCACCATTCCTTCCTCCGTCGTCGGGGCTCCTGGGGTCAGCAAGGAGCACGCTGCTACAACCACCCCGCTGTCGTTTGTCCCCCAGGCTGGAGCAGGACATCAAGAAGCTGAAGGCCGACCTGCAGGCCAGCAGGCAGGTGGAGCAGGAGCTGCGCAGCCAGGTGAGCTCGCTGAGCTCCGCCGAGCGCGGCGCGCGCGCCGAGACGGGCCAGCTGCGCCAGGAGAACGAGCTGCTGCAGAACAAGTACGTGGGCGCTGCCCCGGGGGGCTGCCAGGGGGGGCAGGAGCCTGCCCTGGATGTGGAACCCCCCCTCCCTGTCCCCGCTGAGGTGTTGTCATGTGGAAATGCAGGGGAGCTCAGGCGGAGATGTGAGCGGTCGTTGAGGGAGTGAAAATGAGGATGTGGTGATGCAAAACTGGCACAGGGGGGTTGGCAGCCTCAGGGGTGGTGGCACAGTGTCATCCCGGGGGGCTCAGCCTTCCTGCAGTGCCAGATGTGCTTCTGCTGGAGCAGGCATCCTGCACAAGGGGGGAGTTTTCCTCTGGAGCTCCAGGGTGCTGGAGATGGGTCTGGTGTTCCTCTGGGAATGCAGGGCAGGAGAAAGCTGCTCCCAAGGGAATGCAGGGCAGGAGAAAGCTGCTCCTCTGGGAATGCAGGGCAGGAGAAAGCTGCACCTCTGGGAATGGCTGCACCTCTGGGAATGCAGTGGGAAAGGGCTGCTCTGGTATCCCAAAATCTCAGATTGTATCCAGGTAGGAATGCTTGGCTCCTCCCTCTGGGCAGAGCATCTCCCAGTGGGATGATGGAATGTGATCAGCCAAGCAGGGACACTCAGTGGCCATGAACAGAAGGTAATTAATAATTAATGGACCATTAACAGGAGGTATCTCCTGGAGGAGGATTGGGTGTGGAAGGGATAAAGAAAATTGTCCAATGAACAGAACTGCCCCAGCTCTGACAGATGGGGATAGAAAACCCCCAGCCACAGCTTGCAGCCTAAGACAGAAACAAGGCTCATCTTTACCATTTCTAAAAGCTTAATAAGGGATAAATAGATATATTTTATATATATAATGTGGTGGTTTCAGTTCAAAGCAGGCAGAAACACCCATTTTGTGTGATGGTTTTGGTTCACCAACTGGAGATTTCTCTGCACCACTTGGTGTGGTGGGGTCAGTGTTGGCCAAATGCCCCTGCACCCTCTAACTCTAGAGTTATTTACTCATTTCTTGCTGTGGGTTGGGATTGGGAGGAAGGCAAAGCAGCCTCCAAACTTCAAAAGGGCATAAAGAAAGCTTCAGGTGATATATTACACTATATTAAAAAGCAGTTAAAAGGGATTACAAACTGTGCTATATTCAAGTCGTTGTGATCAATAATAACTTGTAAAAGCAAATATATGAATGCCAAAGCCAGCTGTATTGTCATTTATAACAAGGATGTGACGTTGTCCTGGGGGTTGCAAAGGGGGGTTTTTGTGTTAAATAATCCTAAAATGGGAGGCAAACCCAGGCAGGTTTTAAACTCACTTGTGTCCCCTGCAGATTGCACAACGCTGTACAGATGAAACAAAAAGACAAACAAATGATCAGCCAGCTGGAGAAGAAGCTAAAGGCAGAGCAGGAGGCACGAACCTTTGTAGAAAAACAATTAATGGAAGAAAAGAAGAGGAAGAAGTTGGAAGAAGCAACTGCTGCACGAGCTGTGGCCTTTGCTGCTGCTACCAGGTGCTCTGCCCTTGGGAGCCTTTGGGGTGGGAAGGAAGAGCCTGTGTTTGATCTTTTATTTTAAAAAAAAGACCTTTTATTTAAGAAAAAGAGCTTTATTTGTGTTGAGAGGCTCATTTGTGTTAAAACAAGGCAGGACTGGGAGAAGTCTTCCCTGCAGCTGAGCCTACATGACATTTAATCTAAATTACCTGCTCTTCTTGCTTTGTGCTCTCAGAGGTGTTGTGTCCTGCTCCAAGGAGCATCTCCTTTCACGTGGGAATCAAGGGTTTGAGCAGTGACATTGGCCATAATTCTGGAATTTTCCTGCTGGGGCACTGTGGGGTTCTGCAGTCCCACAGCAGCACAAGGCTGGGGGCACTTTAACCTGCAGGGCTCTAAATATCTCTGTCAAATTATTCCTGCTTTTCTGCTCTCCCCAGGAAGGAATATTGATGAATATCTCACCAATATTCCCAATCTCCCCAGAGCTGAGGGGTAACCCTGAGTAACTGCATTGCTGTGAGGGGAATCCCTTTGCTGAGCAGACCAAAACTGCCTTCTTCCTTTCGTTGCCTCACCTTGAATTGAAATTTTTGGTGCTGCAAGCAGCTGAGGAAGGGCAGGCTGGCTGTTTCCTGCCAGCTGCTGTTCTCTGAGCCCAGCTGTGTCCCTGCAGGGGGGAGTGCACCGAGACCCTGCGCGGCCGTATCCGCGAGCTGGAGACCGAGTGCAAGAAGCTCAGCCTGGACATCAAACTGAAGGAGGAGCAGATCAGAGAGCTGGAAATCAAAGTGCAGGTAATGCCTCGGCTCCAGGGAGAGCTCCCAGCCCTCCCTGATCCCTGATCTGCAGCACAGCAGTGCCCAGGGAGGGCAGCTCCTGCAGCTCCTGCCCCGGCTGGGAGCAGGGCCAGGGGCTCCTTCCAGAGCCTTCCGTGGTTCCAGCAGGGCCAGGGGCTCCTTCCAGAGCCTTCCGTGGTTCCAGCAGGGCCAGGGGCTCCTTCCAGAGCCTTCCATGGTTCCAGCAGGGCCAGGGGCTCCTTCCAGAGCCTTCCATGGTTCCAGCAGCCTCCTTCCAGACCCTCCCAGGTTTCAGCAGGGCCAGGGGCTCCTTCCAGAGCCTTCCGTGGTTCCAGCAGGGCCAGGGGCTCCTTCCAGAGCCTTCCATGGTTCCAGCAGGCTCCTTCCAGAGCCTTCCATGGTTCCAGCAGGCTCCATCCAAACCCTTCCATGTTTCCAGCAGGCCAGAGGCTCCATCCACACCATTCTCTTGGTTAAATGGGAATTTTTCCCCCAAACCCACTGGTCTGTTGTAGGCTGAGGGCAGAATCCCCTCAACAGCATTTTTCTCCTCGTGCAAGGAACCTGTGGCCACTCTCATTCTAATAAATCATGAATTTCACTCAAGCCTCCTGGTTCAGGGCAGTCTGGAGCACTGGCCAGGCTATTTTTTATTTTTTTTTGTGTGGAAGTGCCTGAATATTGAAAATACTTCATGGCAGATGTGCAGCAAACAGGGCTGGGGTTGTTACAGCTAAAGAGCTCAAATGTGTGCCCTTATTCCTGTCCTAAAGCTGTGCTCAGACTGACAATCTGCATGAAAATGGATTTTTAATGCCTCTTCCAAACCCACCTGGTGCTGCTGGGGACTTGTTTCCCAGTCACAGGTGCAGCCTCCTTGTCCCTGGATTTCCCAAACCCTTGACAACAAGTGTGGCTCATCCCTGGAGTGTTTGAGCATGGCTTTCAGATAATTAAACCCAGCTCTAATGAAGCTTTTTAATTTTATGAGCATCTCCAAACTGTTAGAGAAGCTTTTTTGCAGGCATTCATATTTTCCCTGTCCCTCCATCTGAAGGTATAGAATATTTTTATATTTTTTGTATTTTTTTCCCCCCTGCCACAGCTTGCCAGGATAATTTCTCCCTATTTTTCCTCTTCCCTTAATTTGTGGCACTGCAGCACAGTGAGGTTTGATGTGAGGTACAAACAATCCCTCCCAGCAGCAGTTTGGGTTTTTAGGGAAGTTTTAGGGAGCTGCCCAGGGATGGATCCCACACCCCTGGCAGTGCCCACACCACAGCTGTGGCACTGGGGGTGCATTTCCATTGCATTTGGAGCTCCCTGAGGCCTTTTCCAGCTTTTCCAACTTGTGGCATTCCAGCCTTTTCCCCAGGGAAGTGTTCCACACCCTCCCTGCCTCCTGGAGAGGCATTTGGGGCTTTTTGGGTGGGGGCTGAGGCCCGGAGCAAATGTGCTTTAATCACAGCTGTAATCACTGCAGGTAACCTTAATTAACCTGCATTTTCATTAATGCCAGGCCCAGTGTGGGGGTGGGGGAAGACTCTTGTGTGGGTCTGCTGTGTGAAGTCCCCCAGGCTGGCATTTTTTGTCCCCAGGATAACATTTTTACCCCCCAGGCTGGCATTTTTTGCCCCTCAGATTACATTTTTTGCCCCTAGGTTGATACTTTTGCCCCCCAGGATGGCAACTTTTGCCCTTAGGGTAACATTTTTGCCCCTAGGATAACAAAATGTTATCCTGGGGGGCAACTTTTGCCCCCCAGGATACCATTTTTGCCCCTAGGATGACATTTTTGCCCTCTGGGGTGGCATTTTTGTCCCCAGGATCACATATTTGCCCCCAAGGGTGGGATTTTTTGCCCCCCCAGAATAACATTTTTGCCCCCAGGATGACATTTTTTGTCCTGAGGGTGACTTCTTGCCCCCCAGAATACCATTTTTGCCCCTAGGATGACATTTTTGTCCATGGAGTAGCATTTTTTGCCCCCCAGATAACACTTTTGCCCCCCCAGATAACATTTTTGCCCCTAGGATGACATTTTTGTCCCCTGGAGTAGCATTTTTTGCCCCCCCCAGATAACATTTTTGCCCCCTAGGCTGACATTTTTTGTCCTTAGGATGACTTTTTGCCCCCTGATGTGGCATTTTTGCCCCCCAGGATGCCATTTTTCCCCGCCAGGATCACATTTCTGCCCCCAGTGTGCCATTTCTGCCCCCCAGGATGACATTTTTGCCCCTAGGATGACATTTTTTGTCCTTAGGATGACTTTTTGCCCCCTGATGTGCCATTTTTTCCCCCCAGGATGCCATTTCTGCCCCCCAGTGTGCCATTTCTGCCCCCCAGTGTGCCATTTCTGCCCTCAGGATCACATTTTTCCCCCCCAGGATCACATTTTTCCCCCCCAGTGTGCCATTTCTGCCCCCCAGGATGCCATTCCTGCCCCCAGGCTGGCTTTCCTGGCGTTCTCACCCCAGTTTCCCTGCAGGAGCTGAGGAAGTACAAGGAGAACGAGAAGGACACGGAGGTGCTGATGTCGGCGCTCTCGGCCATGCAGGACAAGACCCAGCACCTGGAGAACAGCCTGAGTGCAGAGACCAGGATCAAGCTGGACCTCTTCTCTGCTCTGGGAGATGCAAAAAGGCAGCTGGAGATCGCCCAAGGTACCTGGGGGCTTCCCTTCCCCACAGCCTGGGGGAGATCCTGCAGATTCTCAGAGGGAATTTGGCTTTTCTGGCCTTGGGAATGTGGAGTTGGAACCATCTGAGCTCAGCTTCCCAGCCCATCAGGCTGATAATGAGCATTAAAATAGGTGTTTCAGTTAATTCCTGATTATTTTCTGCATTTTATAAACCATTACAAGGAGCTAGAGATCTTTTAAAGATCTGAAAGAGCTCTCTCTTTAAAAGAGATAATTAAATTAAATCTGTTATTCAGCTGTTCTCCTGTCATCCTAATAATAATATTTTATTACTCCTCAAGTAAATAAAACCTAAATCTGAGGAGAACCCAACCTGTTTTAGGCCTGAGCAGGTGAGGAGAGTGTGGCACTGCTGGTGATGCCACCAGAGGGAGCAGAAAACCAACATAAAACCCAGCCTGGGCTTTGTGCAGCTGTGCAAAGCACTCGATAACTCTGCATTTAACACCAGTTTAATTTCCCTGCAGAAGGTTGTTTGATTGCAGGGATGTTTAATTAGAGGGAGAAATTGTTTTGTTTTGTTGCAGTGCTGGGGTTTTTTCATCACCTGGCTGCAGGAATTGCTGTGGTGGTGGTGTGAAAGCTCAGAGAGAAATGATGGGAGTGGGACAGTTTGGAAAATGAACAGCTTTTATGACTGAGGGGGAACGGGAAAAGGCAGAAAAAATTAAATTAAATCGAATTAATCTTTGGGGGGGTGGTGCAGCTGTGAATCCAAATAACACAAAACCACAATGGGAGCGTTGAGATCTGTTCTGTGGGAGCTGGAGGTGATCACCCAGAGCCCTGAGCTCAGCTCAGACCACCCAGAGCCCTGAGCTGAGCTCAGATCAACCAGAGCCCTGAGCTGAGCCCAGAGCTGCCCAGCTCAGATCACCCAGAGCCCTGAGCTCAGATCACCCAGAGCCCTGAGCTCAGATCACCCAGAGCCCTGAGCTCAGATCACCCAGAGCCCTGAGCTCAGATCACCCAGAGCCCTGAGCTCAGATCACCCAGAGCCCTGAGCTCAGATCACCCAGAGCCCTGAGCTCAGATCACCCAGAGCCCTGAGCTCAGATCACCCAGAGCCCTGAGCTGAGCTCAGATCAACCAGAGCCCTGAGCTGAGCCCAGAGCTGCCCAGCTCAGATCACCCAGAGCTGCCCTGAGCTGAGCCCAGAGCTGCCCAGCTCAGATCACCCAGAGCTGCCCTGAGCTGAGCCCAGAGCTGCCCTGAGCCCTGAGCCGAGCCCAGAGCTGCCCTGAGCTGAGCCCAGAGCTGAGCCCAGAGCTGCCCTGAGCTGAGCCCAGAGCTGAGCCCAGAGCTGCCCCGTGCTCCCTCCATGGCCCCGGGGCCGCTCTGAGCTCCGCGCTTTGCTGTCCGCAGGGCAGATCCTGCAGAAGGACCAGGAGATCAAGGAGCTCAAGCAGAAGATTGCAGAGGTGATGGCAGTGATGCCCAGCATCACCTACACTGCGGCCACCAGCACTCTGAGCCCCGTGTCCCCACACTATTCTTCCAAATTCGTGGAGCCCAGCCCCTCTGGACTCGACCCCAACGCCTCTGTGTACCAGCCCCTGAAGAAATGAGGCAATGCCGAGGTTCTCTGTGCCCCCGGGGGCCTCTTGCAGTCAAGATGAAATTGTTTCGTGTGGGACTGTGTTTGTTGTCATTTCCAGCAGGAGAAAAGAGCATTGGCTAGAACTGCCCATCAGTTTTTCTTGTAAATTTTTAGGAAACCTCACAGAACTTTGCGATTTATTTTCCTCGGCCAACGCATTAAAAACGATTCTTGGTTTTTCAAGTAGCCAATTTTGCCTTTTTATGTACTCTTGCATGGTTTCCTCTTGAAAAAAAAAACAAAAAAAAACCACAGGGCTTTGCTTGGTTTTGAACCCTTTCTCCTCAGTTTTTTTTTTTTATTTTTATTTAATGATCAAATTGGATTTGCAGATTGATCCAGTGAGGAAAAACCCTTCAGTTTTCCCAGTGAAAGGGTTAAACAACCCAACAAAGCTTTGATTTATAGATGTGTTAAATGCAAACACGTGGATGTTGCAGAAGATAATTTGATTTTCCCCCCCTCAAAGGACCAAACAAATTGCAGGGGCGTTGTTGAAGGGAAGGAATAAAGACTAGCTGATGATGTGATGGTGGTTGTTGTGTGAAATATTTCTATCCCCACTGGTGTTTTTTTCAGCCATGGAGAATTGCTAAACAGTCTCGTTCACAGTGCCTTTGGGAAAAGACATTTCAAGAGGAAACTTGATGGTTTAAACTATATATTTTTTTTTTTTTTTTTGCCCCTTTCACTGTCATCCAGCTTCTGTCTCCCAGCTCCTTCCAGAGCTGCTCGTGGTCCTTGGCTCTGGTCAGGAAGCAGCTCCATCTCTGTTTCTTTTGCTCCAAACTGTTCTGTCCTGGCTGCTTCTGCCCTGGGAGGCAGCAGGTCCCTCCTGAGAGGAAGCTGGAGCTGGGCAATGTTCTGTACACGAGACACTGTAAAGCTGCCTAATAAAAGCTGCAGTTCTGGGGGGTTTTTTTATTTTATTCAGCTGTCATTTACACTTGGTCTCCCCTTCTGTCTTCCCAGCCCTGCTGCCAAGTTTTTATCGAGGAGTTTTCAAGGAAACATTCAAATTGCACAGAATTAAAAATGAGTGTTTATAGGCAGAGAAAAAGGGGTTTTTGCACTGGGGTGGGGCAGATCTTGGGAGGGTGGGAAACCAAGGAAAAAAAATCCAGCCCCAGCTTTAGGATTTTACAAACAAACAATGCACTCTGGAGGTTCTGAAAAGAAAAGAATTAATTTTTTTAAATTCTGGTGTTAATTGGCACGTTGCCTCCTGGAACAACAACACCAACAACAGGAGCAGGTCGGTAGAAAAACCCAAATTCCATCCTTTGCATCCCTGGCTCCAGCTGCAGCCAGCTGTGCACGCTGCTGTGGTTTGCATTTTGGGGCCACCAGTGGCACTGGCACCACAGAAGCTGCTCAGAGCTCCCAGGGGTTTTCCATCCTGTGCAGAACATGGAATTTTTGTGATTTTTGCTGCCCCCTCGGGCTCCCTTTTTGTTCACTGCTTGGTCTTGGCTGCATCTCTTTTTCCTGTGGGGTTCACAAAGAATAAACATTTTCTTGCAGAGAAAAAGAAATCATTTTAATTTGTTTTTTTTGGCTTTTTTAACTGCCCTGATGTGGAAGCCCAAAGGAGAAGTCTGGTTTGTTATTGCAGGTGAGGTTTTCCTTTTGCAGCAGTGAAGCAGAAGGAAGAGCAGCTGCTTTTGGGTTCCAATCAATAAAAAATCAGCAGCTTCCCCTGTGTGGGGGCTCTGAGAGCAGGGGAACCAGGTCACTTCAGATTCCTGGAGTCTGGATTTGGCCTTTGGCCTCTGTCAGGCACGAAGCAGGAGCAGCTTCTCCTGCTTTCTGTTTCTGCCCAGTTCTCTGTGTTGGAAAATCTCTTTTTTTTTTGGAGTCCTGCAGTGGATTTGGGGTGAATGACCTGGATTTTCCCTCTTGGCTTTGGCTCCTGGGGTTTTGGGCCTCCAGGTCAAATCCTTCAGGCAAAGGGAATTCCAACCTCCTCTGTCCCAGGATCCTGCTGGAGGCACTGCCAGGGCTTCCCTGAGGAGTTATCATCATTATCATTATTATCATTATAATAATTATTATTTAATATAATTAATTTTTAATATTTAATTTTATTTTTATTATATTATTATTTTAATTTTCATTATTTATTATTTTAATATTATTATATTATTTTAATGTTATTAGTTTTATTGATTTTATTATTTTTAATTTTTTATTTATTTTATTTTATTGTTTTATTGTTGTTTAATATTTATCAATATTATTATTTGACATGATGATGTCCTGCCACTCCCGTGCCCAGGAGCTGCTCCAAACTTTTATTTATTTTATTTTATTTTATTTTTTAATATTTATCATTATTATTTGACACGATAATGTCCTGCCACTCCCGTGCCCAGGAGCTGCTCCAAACATTTCATTTTTGAGGACATTTGTGTGCAACAGATGGATTTTCTGCACTCTAACCCCAAAAATCTCCTTCCAACAGCACAAAGTGTGTGTTTGGTAGAAAATAAAGAGAAATTCCTTGGTGCCCTGTCCCCACCAGCCACGAGAGGGCCCAGGACGCCTTGGATGAGCCTGAGCCCCAATCCTGAGCTTTGCCCAGCCTGGAAAAATCCCTTTTTTCCCTAAATGTGACACCTGGATGTGGCTCCCCAGCCTGAAGGGAGAGGGAGCTCGGCTCAGAGGGCTCAGAAATCCCCGGATTTGTGCTCGGGTTTGTGCCCACAGCGGCCAGAGGGAATACCTGAACGAGTCCAGTTGTACATCAAATACCTGAATAACTCCAGTTATACAGCAAATACCTGAATAACTCCAGTTTTACATCAAATCCACTTTTCCATCAAATACCTGAACGAGTCCAGTTGTACAGCAAATACCTGAATAACTCCAGTTATACAGCAAATCCAGTTTTACAGCAAATACCTGAATTACTCCAGTTTTATAGCAAATACCTGAATAACTCCAGTTATACAGCAAATACCTGAACGAGTCCAGTTTTACAGCAAAAATACCTGAATAACTCCAGTTTTACAGCAAAAATACCTGAATGACTCCAGTTGTACAGCAAATACCTGAACGAGTCCAGTTGTACAGCAAATACCTGAATAACTCCAGTTATACAGCAAAACCTGTTTTACAGCAAATACCTGAATAACTCCAGTTTTACAGCAAATCCAGTTTTACTTCAAATACCTGAACGGGTCCAGTTTTCCAGCAAATACCTGAATAACTCCAGTTTTACAGCAAATACCTGAACAAGTCCAATTTTACAGCAAAACCAGTTTTCCAGCAAATACCTGAATAACTCCAGTTTTCCATCAAATCCAGTTTTACAGCAAATACCTGAATAACTCCACTTTTCCAGCAAATTCCTGAACAAGTCCAGTTTTACATCAAATCCACTTTTCCATCAAATACCTGAATAACTCCAGTTTTACAGCAAAACCAGTTTTACAGCAAATACCTGAACGAGTCCAGTTCTCCATCAAATACCTGAATGAGTCCAGTTTTACATCAACTCCAGTTTTCCATCAAATACCTGAACAAGTCCAGTTTTACATCAAATCCACTTTTCCATCAAATACCTGAATAACTCCAGTTGTACAGCAAATACCTGAACGAGTCCAGTTCTCCATCAAATACCTGAATGAGTCCACTTTTCCATCAAATCCACTTTTCCATCAAATACCTGAATGACTCCAGTTTTACATCAAAACCAGTTTTCCATCAAATACCTGAATAACTCCAGTTGTACAGCAAATACCTGAATAACTCCAGTTTTCCATCAAATACCTGAACGAGTCCAGTTTTATAGCAAATACCTTAATAACTCCAGTTTTCCATCAAATACCTGAATGACTCCACTTTTCCATCAAATACTCTGGCACCTCTCCCTGCTGCTGTCCCCAGGAGTCACAGAACCCAACATTTTCTGATTCTCTGCATTCCTGTGTTCCAGCCCTGCCCCAGCTGAGCAGGAGCTGCTCTGGTGACTCTGCAGGGACTTTAATTGTTGTGTCACCCCCCTTGGCAGAGACTCAGCCTGGCACTGCTGCCAGGGCCACCCTGATTTTGGTTTTTTTTCAATTATTTTTGGGTTCCTGCGGCTCTGGGCTGAGCTGGGGCTGTTCCCTCCCCTCCAGGTGGGCTCTGAGCAGCAGCAGCTCCTCCTCTCCCCATCCCAGAGCAGTCTTTGCCTGCCTGCAGCCCTGCTGTGCCTGGGATTGTTCTGGGATTGGGGATGTGGGATTATTGCAGCACCATTCACCCCCGGAATGGCTGATCCTGGTGTTTGGCACTTCATAATCTGCATAACTGCAGCTCCAGCACCTCTGGAAAGTGCAGTGGGATCTGAGCAGCTCCTCCTGCCCTGCCTGGCAGTGGGATTCATTAATTTCCCCCCTAAATGACAGCACGATGCATCCTGCAGCGGATTATTGCAGCACCATTCCCCCCCGGAATGGCTGATCCTGGTGTTTGGCGCTTCTTAATCTGCATTAATTGCAGCTCCAGCACCTCTGGAAAGTGCAGTGGGATCTGAGCAGCTCCTCCTGCCCTGCCTGGCAGTGGGATTCATTAATTCCCCCCCTAAATGACACCTGTTGCTGCAAGTGCAGCCAGTGCATTAATTAAAGCCTTAATTATCAGAGGCAGCCAATGCTCCCTAATGAGTGTTTGCTGCAGAGTTAATGTTTGATTGGGGAAGGTCACCTGGGGGGAAACCTGGCTGGGGGAGAGCAGCTGAGGGCACGACCAGTCCTGGATCCTCCTGGGATCCCAAAAAACCTGGAGGAGGAGGAGGAGGGGCAGCTGACACAGCCCGGGGTTTAATGCAGGGGGAGGAATTCCAGCAGGAATTTCAGCTCTTCTGGGATGCCCTGAGCCAGGCAGGGGCACCTCGCTGTGCCCGGGGGGTTGGGAGGGCTCAGGAATGGGCAGGAATTACCAGGAATGGGCAGGAATTATCAGGAATAGTCAGGAATGATCCCATTCCAGAGGCGCCCAGGGAAGCAGGGTTGCTGCCTTCTGCCACAGTCTGTGCTGAAATGATGAGAGAAATGTCTGACAGTGATCTGTGCTGCAAAGCCTGCCTGGGCTGGGGCTGCCACCCCAAAATCTGCTTGGGCTGGGGGTGATGACCCCAAAATCTGCCTGGGCTGGGGCTGCCCCCCCAAAATCTGCTTGGGCTGGGGGTGATGACCCCAAAATCTGCCTGGGCTGGGGCTGCCACCCCAAAATCTGCCTGGGCTGGGGCTGCCACCCCAAAATCTGCTTGGGCTGGGGGTTATGACCCCAAAATCTGCCTGGGCTGGGGGGTATGACCCCAAAATCTGCCTGGGCTGGGGGGTATGACCCCAAACCCTGCCTGGGCTGGGGCTGCCACCCCAAAATCTGCCTGGGCTGGGGCTGCCACCCCAAAATCTGCCTGGGCTGGGGCTGCCACCCCAAAATCTCTGCCCAGGTTGGGGTGTGACCCCAAACCCTGCCTGGGTGGTCCTGTTGGAGCTGCAGGAAGAGTGGAATCTGGCAGGATGGAATTCTCTGGAGC